CGCCCCTTCTGAGGGGGCTCGAGGGCTTGCTGCTGCTCCCGCTTCGGGACGGGCGCTCCATGAGGGCAGCCTTTGTCTGGCCATCGCGCCGTTGGCTTCTAGGACAGTGCCTCCTGGCCCACAGCACGTGGGCGCCTGAGACTCTCTGCAGTGTCTGCTGTGTCGCCCTTCTGGTCGGCCACTGAAGCGTCCCCAAGCAGCTTCTCAGCCAGGCCCTGGACCCGGGGCGGGGGCCGCGGTGGGTCAGACACCAGCCCTGCCCTCGAGGAGCGCAGGTGAAATGTAAGCTCAGGGAGAAGCGAAGGGGGTGACTTGCCACAGATGAGGCTTGGGGCGGGGTGGGGGTGGGGGGGCACAGTCAAGACCCCTCGCCTGGCCTCGTTGTCCCAGGAGGCGTCCCAAGAGGAGGACCGTTCTGTCCCTTTCGTGGCACAGGACCAAGCCCAGGGAGGGTGGCAAGAGAGTGAAGGGGGCAGAGAGGGCGGGGACAGAGCTCCAGGCTGAGAGCCTGGGCGCAGCACCGGTGGAGGCCTTGACCATGGAGGAGGTTCCATGACGGACACAAGGCGAGGATGACACCCAGGTTCCTGGCCTGTGGACGACGTGGACAGAGCCACCACTCCGGGACGGAGGGGACAGTCCCCTGGGAGTTCAGGGCCCTGGGTTCCACCAGGCTGGCCGTGTGGGACCTGGAGCAACAGCAGGGTCCTGCGGTCACTGCGGGTGGAGCCCGGGCCCGCCCCGGCTCCTGGTCTCCAGCCTCGCACTGGCCCCACAGAGGGGCTGGCTGAGTGGGGGCGGGGGGCAGGCCACAGCTCCGTCTCCGCACCGTCAGACACCGTGGCAGCCAGGTCCTTGCAACCCTCTTAGGAGCAGGCATCGGGGGCCAGTCAGGAGGGTGCCGTGTACACAGTAGACTTGCCAGCAGGCCAGACGGTCAGGGCGGACTTTTAGCCCCGGTGCCAAAGAACCAGCCAGAGAAGCAAGCTGGTGGGAACCCTGAGGCCTTCGTGGGTGGGGGGAGGGGCCGCCCGCCCGCAGGCCTCCACCTGCACCCACTCACCGGAGCCCCTGTGCCCGGCCAGCGCGGCACCTGCTGCCAAGATTCGGGGAAATTCTTTGAATTTTTTTTAAGTTCATTTGGTGTGAACAGCAAAGCAAGCCTGAAGGGGGACCCACTAGATATGAATACAAATTATAATCCTTTTAAAAAGGGAGGCACTGGGGAAAAGAAATGCACCAATAGGTCATTGAAAAGTCAGCTTTGTAAGAGATAAGGTTTTCACATGTGATGAAGAAAACACACACCAAAAAGGAGGAGGAAGGAATCTCTCAGCTCAGGATATTTGTTAAAACATTTGGGACGAAATCCATTTGGAGCCTCACTTCATGCTACATGTCCAATTAATTCCAGAAATAAGTTTATGGATTCTAGAGGGAAGACCAGACCTTAAAGCAATGAGAGACCATCCAGGACCAGGTAGAGATGTTTGCAGGGCTGCATGGTCTCGTCACCTCAAAACCCAGCAGTCCCCAGAGCACACAAGCCCTCTCCGGTCCGGAGGTAAGGGGTTTCCATGGTAACGTCTGAACGCCCCGCATCTCCCCGCACCTCCCCGCTCTATCCCACGGCTGCGAGCCATGGAATTTTTCAGAGGCTGCGTAATGTGTGATCTTGGAAGAGATTAGTGCAGAAGCAGGTCTGAGATTCCAGGGGTCTCCTATTAGGCCAGACAATAAAATTTTTGCAAAAATGTAGAAAGAAAAAAGAAAGCCACTTTTTGTTTTGGTAAATTTTCATTAAAATATGCTATTTGTGTTCATATTAATGTCTATTGTTAATATTTTAAAACGTCCTCCATTTAATGTATGATTATTGGTAAAACCTATAGGTAAGCAAAGGCTCTTTGGGGTCCTTGTCGATTCTGAACAGGGCAAAGGGACCTGGGGACCCGAAAGCTTGAGGACTGCTCTTGGCCCGTGAGCCCCTGGACAGGGCCTGTGCCCCCCCACCCCCAGCCCATGGGTCCTCTGCACCCAGCACATGCATGGGTGCAACAGCGGACAGTTTAGTGAGTACCTACTGTGCGCCACAGGGCATTGTGACAGGCGCGACAACACCTCTGTGAACCACCAGGGCAGAGCACACCGGCCAGCAGCCTCGGGACCATCTAGAGGGCAGTGCCCTGAGGGGCCGGATCGGCTACAGAGAAGCCAACACCTTGCAGTCACACACGCACGAAAGTAAAAGGCGGAGCCGTGCAGCAAGTGACACACAACAGGTTAATGTCTTTAATATACAACGAGCTCATACAAATGTGTCGGACCCCAGCGGGTAAGAGCCAAGGACACCGACGATCCACAGAAGAGGAAGCACAACTGGCTCACGGGGAAAGATGTTAAACTTGGCTAAAAAAATCAAAGAAATGCAAACTAAAACGCAATGTTATTGTTCCATGATCAAATGAGCAAGGACTTGGCCAGGTGATGATGCTCGGCGCTGGCAAGATGGCAAAACGGGCACATTCGTCCTTGCTGGTGGCAGTGTAAATGGGCACATTTCTGGAGGCCCTTTTGTCAATATGCAATCAGAGCCTAGAGGTTTTCGTACGCTTTAACTCAACCGCCCCACCTCCCGAGTCCATCCTAAGGGACTAACGGGACGTGGGCGGAAGCTTTATGCACGAAGATATTCATCGGCCTCTAACAGGGGAGGACTAGCAACAGCGCAGTGACCAGCCACGGGCACCGCTGTCCGCCCACCTGACGGCGCAGCGCCGGCCATTCCAAAGTGAAGTCAGTAAGAACGAGGGGGTGGGGGCAGCCTGGAAGGAGAAACACCAACACGTTAAATCTTACTTTTCTCTCCTCCACGTGATGTTCCAGAATCCCTACCGCGTGCAGGTTCACTGAAAGGCCCAGCGGCCGTTCCTTGTTTGTGGAAAGGACTTTGTGAGGCCGACGGGAGGAGCTGGGGCTCCTCCCGCCGGTGCTGCGCCCCCGCCACCAAGCCAGAGGCCGGGGTGACACGGGACATTCACAGTGGGTGGCAGACCCGCCCTGGCCCTCGGTCTCCTCCCCACACCAGCGGGCCTTGGCCGGTGGCCCACCCGGAGCCTGCGGTCCCCGCCCCCGGAGCCCCACCTGGTCATCTCGACGCTGCCGCCGCCCCTCGAGCAGAGGCGACCCTGGCCCCACAGCTCCGGCTGCCGGACGGCGGAGGGGCCCCTGCAGGCAGCTCCTCCCGCCAAAAGCCCCGCCCACGTCAGTGGTCCCCGTGTGTGTCCCTTCACGGTCACGGGGCTTGCTCCCCAGTCCATGCCCAACTGTCCCCACAGCTCTCCGCTCTCCCGTAGGCCTGTCAGGGCTGTGGTCGCCCCGTGGGTGGCTCTGTCCCCCGCGATCAGCAGCATGTGGGTCGGGGAGCCTTACCTGCACCCCACGGGGTTGCTGTGCGACCCTCGTCAGGACTCACCCATCACACACTTACCTGGAACCCAGGATGTGGGTCCTTGCTTTTCCCCAGAAGTCACTGAAATGCTTTAGGACATTAGTTAACCCCCAGGTCCCGCTCTGCATCGGCCAGGAAGCCGCCCCTTACTGGGAATCCCCCCTCACACGACGCTGTCAGGAAATGAAGCTGACTTCCCAGATGGGGATCACGTGGACCAGAAAGCAGTCACAGCACAGCCCAATGTCAACACCATGAAAAACAAACCTGTCCCTCACATGCACGGACACTACTAACGGCCTGGCCCTTCGGAAAACCAATGCAAGCTCTTAAGTGGAGAGAAACCACAACCCCAAGGTATGTACAAAGCAGCTCCCTTCCCCCACTCCCTTCTCCAGCTTGACCCTGCCGGCCCCTGTGGCCTGGACCTGGGCCACATGGAGCTGGGGTCCCATCCTCCTTTGCTGGGGGCTGGGTGTCTTCCCCTGGAGCCGGTCGGCTCCCAGTGTGGCGTTTCTTCCGTGTCCAGCGTCGGGGTGACCCCCAGCTAGCTCATCTGCCCGGTTTCCGCAGCCGCAGGAAGCGTCCGAGGCCTCGGGTGCCCACAGCGCCAGTCCCAAGCCCACAAACGTAAGCACCGCGATGACACACAACCCAGTTGCTAAGCTAAAGGAAGCCGGAGCAGCAGCCTGGGCCGGGCCTGACGCCCCACGTGCGACAGCCAGGTCACGCGTATGGACGGGCTCTGGCCCTAGTACACGGGCAGCATGGCTGGAACCCAGCGCGTGGTGCACACACAGGATGCCTACACACCACAGGCGCGGACCCAGGGGTGGCTGAGCGTGCGGAGACCCTGCCCCGCCCCGTGCTGGCCTCCTACCCCGGCTGCGCTGGGCCGCACGGCCACCTTCCAGCTGCGTTACCCCTACAGGCTTCCTTTTCCCCACGTGCTCCTGTGCCCTCCATCCGCGGCCGCCTCCACCTGGCACGCAGGCAAAGGGAAACTGCGCCCTAAGGAAAAGTGATCTGCACACGCCAGGCCGAGGCCCCGCCCCCAGACGGCGGCGGCGCTGCCCTCCCCCACGCACGCTGAGCGAGCACCACGGGCCCACCGGAACAGCCTCGGCGGGCGGGCGGGGGCTGTCGCCTGTGTTCAGGCAGTTGTTCAGCAGGGCGATTGGGCTAACAGAGTTTACAGTGAGTGGGTGGCAGCGACCCACGAACATCAGCAACCACTGGGCGCCCTTGACCTTGCAAGGCAGCGGTAGCTTCAGGAACGCAGTCACTTTCCCCAGCATCACCAAAACTCTTAGGAAGGAAGGATGGGCCCCAGGGCCCACCCTCTGGGTCACCCAAGATGTGTCCCTGGGCAGGCGCAGGAGCTGTCCTCCTGCAGTCGGGCCGCACGGCGGGGAGAGGCCCGCAGGGGGCGGAGGCGCCCGCAGGGGCGGAGGGGCCCGGGGTAAGACACCGCCCTCCCCGCCCCCGCCGCCCCGCCCCCACCCCCGCACTGTCCAGGCGGCTGTGGGAATGCCGTCCATTGGGCGTTCGGGCACGGCGGGAGCATCACCGGCCAAAGGACCTGGCCGACCCGTCAGGAAAGTGAATCCCCGGCGGCCCCCACGAGGACGCGCAAGGCTGTCCCCCAGTGAGGGGCACAGCTCTGTCCCTTGGAGTTAAGACACGAGCGCCACCTTGGGACGGAGGCGGCCCGCAGCTCTTTTTCAAATGCCACCAAGGCCCTGACGGGGGTTGCCAGAGGCCAACGCTGCCTTGCCCCTGGTGCTTAAGGGCACATCCCAGAGAAGGTGGGTTCCTAGCCCCCACAGTCCAAGTCTTCTTGAACAGAGGCTGGACTGCTGGTGGACGGCCCGGGCCCGGGGAGGGCATGCCGCATCGAGTCTCCCGAGGCCGCGGGCGCTGTGGGGGGCTGAGGGGCTGAGGTACAGGGTGGCCACTTGTTCCCAAGTGGAGAAGAGAACAAGTCTCCAGCCAGACAAGGCCCCTCACCAAGTGACAGGGGCAGCGGAGTAGCCGCGCGCCTGCAGCCAGCGGCCACCCCCGCTGGAGGCCTGGCCCGCGGCCTGCGGAGGGCCTCGGGCACAGGGTGCACGGGTGCACTGCTGCGGCCGCTTCACGGGGCTGCCCCGCGGTCCGGGTCAGTCCCCTTCCTTAGCAGGCAAGCTCCAGACTCCCAGAACTCCCGGCGCCGTCGGGACCCCGGCAGCAGGAGCGGGGCATCAACGGAGGTGCCGCCTCCAGCTTCTCCCTGTACCTGCATTTGGGGCTCTCCCGGCAGCTACAACGAAGCGCACTGACGCATACCCAGGAGCAGAGGAGAGTGCGCCACCGGACACGCCGGCACGACGCTCCCAGTAGTGGTCGCTCGGCCACCAAGCAAGGACAGGGCCCTGGCTGCCACACGGGGCCCTGGCCGGACTGGTGACCTCTCATGGTGGGAGGTCCGACTCCCCTCCCCAGGTCCCCGCATCGAGCCACCGGCCCGCCGAGGCGCCTCTGTCATCCGTGAGCTCATCACTGGGAACAGGGCAGCCAGGCAGGGAGCTGCCGTGGGGGTCTGCAGAGGGCAGAAGAGGAGTCTAGGAACCTCGTCGGGCCGGGAGGGGTCCGCCCAAATGGTCCGCAGCATGTTGTGGAGTCAAAGTGACCGAGTAGCAGAGCTGTGGTCACCAAAAGAGCTGGAGGTGCAAGCGTGAGGGGGAAACATGCACTGAGGCGTAGGTGCAAAGCTAGCACGTAACACTAGGAAGCGAGGTGCTAACAGGATGGCCGAGTATGAGGATCTGCTGCTGGAACAGGTCTGGAGAGGTCTTGGAGAGGAACAAGGATGCTGTTGCAGGGACATTTCTTCTATGGAGCAAAGAGGGGTGCGACCCGGTAGCTGCCGATGCGACCAGGGGAGTGGCGGGTTCTTAAAGGTTCCGTGCTCGGGTAGGCAGGGCCGGGGCTGGGCTAGTCCCGTTGGAAGCGGGGTGCACAGGGCAGGGGCCTGTGCCTGTGGCCGCCAGCTGGCGGCACAGCATCTGCCGCTCCCGCACCGCTCGATTCGAGGCGGAAGTCTTCCTGATTTGGGCACGACGGGCGTGCCGCAGGGGGGACTTGTAGGTTCTCCGCAACTCCGCCAGGAACCCCTGATAGTTGTTTCGCAAGGGGCTGTCAGGCTGCATGTGGGGGATCGCCCACTTCTCTGCCTCCCCAGTCAGCCGGGACACAAGGAAGGCCACGCGTTCGGCCTCACCTGGAAAGCGCGAGGCCTGGAAGATCATGAACCTGTCCATCTGCATCAAGAACCCTGCTAGCTGGCCCGGGTCTCCCGAAAAAGGCTCCGGCAGAGAGGTCGGAGGCGTGGTCATCGGCCGGGTCCCATTCGAGGTGATCGCTGAGATGGGCGGGGTGATCTGCAGCGCGCCCGGAATCCGGGCCCTGGTACGTAACAAGGTCAGCTCTGCCATCACGCTCTCCAGCATGTTGGTGAGGTTGGCCTTCTCCGCCCGCAGCGTCGAGGCCTCCCGCCTCAGTGCAGAGTTGGTGAGGCGCAGGGAGGTCAGGGTGTCAATGACGTCATCCATTTGAGCATTGGTCGAGGCTGCGGAAGCTGGGGTTTCAGCTTTTGATGTCTGGGGTTGGACCATGTTGGCAGAGGTCAGCCAAAGGCTGAACTGATGGGTGGGAGAAAGGGGTGTGAGTAACTCAGAACCTTAAGACCGGTGGTGCTAAAACTGCATAGACCCAGACAGGAATGAGGGAGCAGGTGAGGTTCAAGACTCGGAGAGAAGGCAGGGTCGGCAAGCGAAGACTTGGGTGCAGCCGCAGCCAGGCAGGTGGTGCAGGCCTGGAGGATCCCGGGTTCCGGATGGACTCCTTTATCGCGGACCTTCAAGGCCAAGGCTCACAGCACAGGAGGTTACACTTGTTCTGGGGCCTGAAGGAGGAAAAAAACGTTTTTAAAAAGTATCGATTGCAGAAAAGAGGGTCGAAGTAGGGGAGGCAGCGTGGGAGGGGCACAGAGCTGGGGGCGGGGGGGGGCCGCCGGGCCCGAAGCCCCCTCGCGGCGCAAAGCCCCTCCCGGGGCGCGGCCGGCTCCTACCTGTGGCAGAACAAAGGACGGGCGCACCTGCGGCGGCGCCGGGCCTGGGGAGGACGGCAGAGGCGTACCTGAATCTCCGCGGCTTCCTCCGCGGCTCCGGGCACTGCGCTGGCCGCAGCCAAGATGGCACGATCGGGGGTGCAGGCAGGCCGATGAGTCACGGCGGCCGTCCGCCGGAACTGCTTCCCGGTCAGGTCAGGCCAGGGAGGCCGCGGCGGCGGGAGGAGGGCGGCCTTGGGCGGGAGCGCGAGTGGAGTCAGGTTCGCAATGGAGGGCGGGTCAAGGCGCGACCTGGGTGCGGGCAGGGCCAGTGCGGCGCAGGCGGCGCTGGCGGCGGTGGAGGCGGTGGATGGGCCTCGCACAGGCCCCACTAGTTGCCATGGAGACCGCCCGCTCGCGCGCGGCGGCTGCGGCGGAGGCCACGCCCCGGAAGTGGCAGGCGTGGGTCCGCCCCCGTGCCACACAGTCCCGCCTCCCGGGGTACTTCCCTGAGCAGCCAATCAGTGATGACCATGGTTACTGTTACTTTGTTACAGTAGGTGCTTCTTTCTTTTCTCTTTAATCCTCCCCAAACTGCTTGCAAAGCTCTTTTTGTATTCGTTGTAATTACTTTTTAATGAAGCTTGCTTTTTGTATTGTAACCTGAGTACAAATTCAATGTAGTATATATTCATTGTAGCAATTCTGATGTCAGAGATGTCTAAAAAAATCCTTCACATCACCCAAAATTTCTCCGCCTGGAGAGGACACGGTAATATCTGCCCAGTCATTTTTTTAATTATATAAATTTTTGTACCTTCTGAACTGTTTTTACTCTTAATAATACACTGAATTTTGAGCATTTCCCCATTAAAGATGTGTCAAAAGCCTGATTTTCAAATATTGCCTCGTGTTCCACTGAAATCCATGATTTATTTAACCATGCCCCTTTTGGATGGGTCTCTACCTCGTCGTCCATGTAAAAGTTTTATAAACCTCTTGTCTGCGAATCCCAGCCCCTTCCTCTGCCGCATTCTCCAGGGTGAGCTCCAAGGGGTAAAACCACTGGGCCAAAGCGTATGTTTGACTCAGGGCCGGGTGCCTTCCTGCTTGACCCCGCGGAGCTGCTTCTCCGTGGCGGCCAGGCCCGGGCTCAGCTGGCGAGAGAAGGCCCCCGCCTTGCCAGCCTTTTGTGGACACAGCCTCCAAGGAGGAGCTGACCGCTGGCAGCCACCTGCACTCCCTCCTCAGACGGGCCTGGGACGGCGTCAGCCTCACTCATGCCTTTACCTTTTTTGCTTCTGTAAAACGGAAACTGGGACGTGAGGGTGTGAGTACTTAGGGAAGACAGTCTGGCTGTCCCCACAACTGGGTGGACCCCAGTGTGCCAAAAGGTGCGCTTCTTCGGGACCAGCTGAAACCTTCTGGGGCATAAGGCAAGAGAGGAAAGAAAGGAGACGGTGTTTCTTTAAATGACCTCCACGAAGTCTCCCAAATCAGACGCGGACAGGACCTTCATTCATCTTGACTGAGGTCAGTGTCTGAGGGACTCGGCCTGGGCCCTCTACCCCTCCCACTTCTTCCAAACACACGCAGGACTCCCCAGCCACTCCTGTGAGCCAGCCCATGGGTCTCTCTGCCCTCCGTGCCCCTCCCCGGGTCCCTGGACACTGCGCCCATCACTGAAGCGTCTGCTGCAGTTCCAGGGGTGCTTCACGCCAGGTCTTGAGTTCTCTGGTGCGTGGAGTATAATAAGGTACGCTGTGATTTCAGAAATGATAAAAAACAAATCTGGAAAAACATAATTTCTTTGTATTTCACTTTATTTTATTTCAAGTAGGATAAAAATAGAGCACAATAAAAATTGACAGACTTACTTATAGTCAAGAAACAGTCGAGTATTTGGCTTTCAATCCAGGCGATGCTATGAAGCCCGCTTCTCTACTGCAAACGCAGGACCATGATAAGCTGCAATGAAAAGAGCTGGCTGAGGGCAAACGCCAGATACTGTGGCCCGGAAACACAAGCTGCTGCGTGTTGACAAAGCCATGGGCCTGCTGACCTATGCGTCCTGACACATAACAGACATGAGGCTGCGAACAGAGCCAGACTTCATGTGGGAAACCAGGCAAGAGAGGGACTCCCCTGTATCAGAAGGGAGCCTGCCACATTTCATGGGGCAACAGCTTCTGTGACTAGGGAGAGCACATACAGTCTTGTGACTCTCATGTCCCTTGGCGTGACAGGCTGACCCCAAAGGGCCAGGAAGTGTGACGCACCGCTGCCAACATGAAGCGTGTTCTGTGCTGCAGACCAGGCATCACCACGCAGCCCCGGGCTACGGGAAGGGGGTGGGGTGAGGGCACACAGGGAGAAAGAATGCAAAAGACAGTCTTTTACCCAAAAATGAGCCTAAACATAAAAACTCAGGAGCCAATGGAGACATCGCATCCTAAGAATAATGGCCACCAAAATCAATAGTCATGGTATGCATTAAGGCCAGATGAAATTAATAGAATAGAACAATCTGGGAATGAAAAGACTTTAGAGTAAGCATATTTGGGATCTCCTATGAGACAAATGAAAAAAATAGCCCTGGCTGGTGTGGCTCAGTGGATTGAGCACCAAAGCCTGCAAACCAAAGGGTCACTGGTTTGATTCCCAGTCAGGGCACATGCCTGGGTTGCAGGCCAGGTCCCCCGGTTGGCGGTGTGTGAGAGGTAACCACACATTTGATGTTTCTCTCCCTCTCTTTCTCCCTCCCTTCCCCTCTCTCTAAAAAAACAAATTAAAAGATCTAAAAAATAATGATAAAATTAATACGTTAATAAATAACATTTAAAAAAAAAACACCTGTGAAAATACTAGGTATGGGAGTGGGGGGAGAGGGAAGGAAGCAATGTAACCAGATGAGGTGGCTTGAAAAAGTACCTTTAAAAAGGAAATCTAGGAAACTGCCATTTGCAGGAAGATTCAGTAGGGGCATTCTTGCCTATTCTTTCAGCAAAGCATGAATGAAAGCCATTTTTAAAAAAGACTCTAAGAGGTGGAGAGAAAAAGGCAGCCTGGGGAAGTTGCTCAGCGCCCACTGGGTGGCGAGTAACCTGAGTATTCTTTTGTGTCATACACCTCAAGCCTAAAGCCAAAGAAGGGGGCGACCTAGAAATGCCAATGAGTGCAGACAAAAGGGCCTCCCTCAAAAACCTGCCCTCTCAAGCCAAAGAATCAGGAAAAGAACAGCCTAAGAAGACAGGAAACATTTAGACAATAATCACTCTATTCCAGGCAAGCACCTTAGGAAAGTTGGCGCCCCCCGCCCCCCGCCCCCACACCACTCATGCCAGCAAGAGCCTAGAGGGGGCCCAGATTTACACCCTTGCAAAACTAAAATGAGGCGCTACAGCCAATGCTCCTGCTGGGGGGAGGGGCATGAAAGAAGGCCAAAAACTCCCCAAACTTGATTAAATACATTAATCTGCACATCCAGGCAGCTCAGCAAACTCCAAATAGGATAAACTCAAACACGCAGATGCATCATAAGCAAAAACCTCAAAAGTCAAAGACAGAGAATCTTGAAAGCAGCGGGAGAGAAGCAAGTGATTGTGTATAAAGGGTCATCAATAAAATTAATGGCTGGTTTCTCAACAGAAACCACGGAAGTCAGGAGGCAGTGGGAGGACAGTTCAACGTGCTAAAAGAAAAAGACTGTCAACCAAGGACTCTATATCCAGCAAAACTATCTCGCAAAAAAATGAAAGAAAAATGAGGACATTCCCAGGTAAATAAAACTGTAGAGCATTCATCACCAGCAGACCTGCCCTACAAAAAATAATAAAGAGAGCTCTTTCAGGTGAAGTGAAAGACATTGGGCAGTAACTGGAATTCATGCAAACAACAAAGACCATCAGTAAAGGTACCGACATAGGTGAATGTGAAAGACGGTATAAATGTGTTTTTGTCTGTGACTCTATTTTCTCCTGTCTTATGTAAAAGACAACTGCAAAAAGCAATCATTATAAATCTATGTTGATGAGCATACTATATGCAAAAATGTGATTTGCATGATAGTAATAGCTCGAATGAGATGGAGAGGAGATGGCACTGTTGGAGATAAATGTTTTCTAAAGTATTGAAATCAGTTATTGTTAATCCAAACTAGAGTTTTATAAGGTAAGATGTCAGTTGTAGTCCTCAGGGCAACCGTTAGGAATATAACTCAAAAATGACACAGGAATTAAAATGATACACTAAAAAAGATCTCTTTCATCTGACAAAAGGCAGTGATGGAGGAATAGAGGAACAAAAAAAAAAAATACAACCTATACAAAACAAAAAATAAAATGGCTGATGTAAATCCTACCTAATCAGTAATACATTAAGTGTAAATGGATTAAACAGTTAAAAGATTGAGATTGGCTGAATGGATTTGTTTTGACCCAATACAATACTATGTACAAGATGTACTTTAGTTTTAAAGACAAAAATAAGTTGAAAGTAAATGCATGGAAAATGATATACCATTCAAAGTAACAAAAAGAGAACTGGGGCACTATCAGACAAAACAGACTTTAAGACAAAAAATGCTACTAGAGAAAAAGAAGCACATTTTGTAACTATACAAGGGTCAATCCATCAAGACAACAATTATGAATGTACTATGGTCGTAAACAGCATTAAGTTATTATAAAGCTTCAGTACTGATAAAGGAATAAATGCATGGATCAATGGAATAGAATAGAGAACCCAGAAATAGACCCATATAAATATGCCAAACTCATTTTTGACAAAGACACAAAAGTAATTCGATGGAGGAAAGATTGCCTTTTCAACAAATGGTGATGGAGCAATTGAATATCCATTGGTTAGAAAAACACACACATCAATCTAAGTCTCATGTTTTCTATGAAAATGATCTCAAAATGGATCATAGACGTAAATGTAAAACATCATGTTTTATGTTATATTATACGTGTATGCGTGTGCATGCTGAAATCTCTGTGATGTGGGGCTAGGTCAAGAATTCTTAGATTTGACACCAGAGCATGATCCATATCAGGAAAAATTGATAAATTGGACCCCAAACAGTTAAAACTTTTGCTCTTTGAGGGACCCTGTTGAGAGGATGAAAATACAAGCTAGAAATGGAGAAAAATGTTTACAAATCACATATCCTACAAAGGACTAGTTTCTAGAACAAATAAAGAACTCTCAAGATACAGTAAGTAAAACAACAAACAACCCAGTTAGAAAGTGGGCCAAAGACATGAACAGGCATTTCACCCAAGAGAATATACAGGGGTGGGCTAAAGAGGTTCACAGTTGTGAGCAGGTAGAACATAGTTTATTCTTGTACTTTTTAAAAAAATATATTATTCATTTTTATAGAG